CCCTTCTCTCTCATATGTGAATGCAACTTTACTTGCACATTTATGTACTTTGCATCTTCCACTTTGTCAGTAAGTTTTACCATACATTAATAGCACACACTTAAAACTTTCAAGTTTGGTCTTTTGTTTTGTTTGGGAAAGTGAACTTTCATATCTGACAAAAGGGAAGGCGTTTCTGAGACACTGCGTCTCTTGTTCATTATATCCAGATTTGGTGGTGATGAATGGAATGGTCAATGGATAGACATCAAATTCATTCATGTGAGAGCAATTGTTAATTTTTCAATTGTTTGTTCATTATTTGTTTAGCTTAGTTTGTTATCAGTTATAGATGTGTGTGTGATTCTTGTTCAAAGAATGGCTGTTAGGATTTCCATTGCTTATTTGTTGTATTCAACATCAAATTAACCCATGCACGATTCATAAGGTGGAGTATAAGAGTGAGAGTGTACACTCAGTGACTTCTAAATATTTCAAAATATGTAGAGATATTCAAATTTCCAATGTTATTTATTTGAGTGATCTTCAAAGTTTCCAGGGCTATGTTTATGTGATAGATGACAATAACTAGGGGCCCTACTGGATATGAATATCTTAGACTATAATAACTAGCCTGTTTTGGGTCTTTGGGTCATTGGGTGACCCTCCTCTCATTTGGATTTATAAGAAATGTCAAATTTGCTGGGTTGTTCCCCTTTTCCCCTTAAACTCTTTGGATAGGCATCTTATTTAGTGAGTGAACATGAGAATTTTAATTTGAGTTGCATGTGTGGCAGCTGAAATCATCTGTTGCTGCTCTGACTTTGATATTAATATGCATTGATTACTATACTCCTAGTCTCTGAATCAATGTATAATCTTAACATTCATCCTCACTATTGTTTAGCTTCTAAGAGTGATTATAATTTGTGACCCAGAGGTTAATGCAAAACCAAGGTTTGAACTTGTGAGCGTGATTTAGGCTTTGGCAAGTCTTGATTGGCTTCTATTGTGACACTTGAATATTAAACTGAAGTTTGAACACTTAAATGAAATGCGATGCCGGTTCAGAGCTTTGAGCTTGGTCCCCAGGTTCAGAGTTTCGAGTTTGGCCTGCTAGTAAGCAGTTTGGGTATGTGCCTGGCTGTTTTGTTTTTATAATAGCCTTGGTTTGTTCATGCATTCCTATCAGTTGGTGCTTGATCATCTCATACATAATTTATTTGAAAAGTTTGTGGGTACCTCTATTTCTCAGCAAAAAAGAAATATATAACAATCATTTGATTCTTGTGGCGATCCATGTACATGTACTCTCCCATGTAGAGCAGTAGAGTAATTATAAGAACTTCATGGAACATGGAGGAGTAAGTTACTCATGCAAGCAAAAGTACGAGAATAGGAGTGCGTTTACTGCCTCTTTTTGTCAGACATGGCTTGTAATTACATTATTGACAACCAGCAGATTCATGTACTGGTGTCATGTCCCACAGGACTTCAAAGGCATGGAGGAGCATGATACCATGCAACTTGAATGAGCAAGAGCTCTATGTTGCTTTAAAGTACTCATCAATATTAGACCTGTACCTACGACATGGAGTGACTTATGAGGCTTCACCAATTTTGCATACCTTGGTCGAAGACTACGAGTCTCAATCAATCAGTGACCAATCTCAGATTTTTAGTGAGTTAGGGGAAATAGAAAACTCAACTGCAGATTATTTGGTCTTCTACACAAGAAAATAGCTTCAATCGGCCAAAAGAGATGCAATGGGTCTGACAAGAAATTATGGGAGGCCTCCAGAATCCATTTTTTGTTGTGCTCGTGGTATTTCAGAATGGTGGTTGTCTTGCTAGCGAGGGCCAACACAGGATTACTTCTATGTGTATTTGCAATGGCCATAACTATTAAAATGATGGTGCGTGAATTTTCATTCATATTATGTTCTGGATTCTGGATTGGCAGAGGTCATTTGTGATTCTGAGTTAATTAATCTTGGTTTCTTTCTCCTGCAGGTGGTTCAGTTTATCCAAAATGCAAATAAAATCAGATAATTGTTAAGCTGTTATTTTCAGGGGTTATTTGATATTTTTAGAGTTTAGAGGGTCAAGTAACACAGCCATACAGACAGACTTTAGATGGGTTTTTGGGTAACTAACCCCCCTTAAATTTATTTGCAAGATATTGAGATGAAAATTATTTTGCATCCGAGGTATGTACTGAGATTTTGTTCTCTCTCCTCTACGCATTGGTTGTGAAACAATGTTTATAATCTGTGTGGCTTGTACTTTTCTGTTTGCTTCACATTTGGTTCAGTAAGAAAGAGATGGATAATTCACCATGTGCTCAAAATTTTGCTTTTCCTAGCTAGGACGTGAAGCTGCAACAAGTGCATCAAGGCATGTGAGAAGTGTGGTTTCGCAGCAAGTCAATGAGCAGAAATCAACCACTTTGAATTGTAGGGTTCCATCCTTGAATTGTCTGTCCTGATGACGGGCTCTTCATCGCCTTCTGGATGCGGCAACATTGTCTAAGACCCTTTGCTCAAGGCAACAAGAAGCCTATCGAGTGGGGATTGATCATAGGTGTCTCCATCATGTATAGCAGCTGTAAGTGAGCTATAAGAAATAGCAAGAAACCGATGCCAGAAAAATTGCAGTAACCTGCTCTTTCTGTTACACAAGTCAGAGAAAAGTGTGCTACGTGCATGGATTGCAAGGCATAAGCTGCTGTCAATTCCCCATTTTACCCACATCTCTTTTACCATTTTTATGTCTCTGTACAGCACCACGGCTGTATTGTTGCCAAAATGAAGTTTTCCATGTCAACAAGAACTATAATGCTGTCTTTTTAGGTAATTTTTGGTTCTCTTAGTCATCGGGGAGGGGAGAAGTTAATGGGGGAATACTCCTTGCTGTTGAATAATATTGTAGAGTAACATGTAAGTTTCCTTTTTTGTGGTTTCTGTAAAATTGATTCATATGTTATTGTCTCTCTCTCTCTCTCTCTCATGTGATATTGATTCATATGCCGTCTCTCTTTTGTAAAATTTCCTGGGAGAGTCAGGAATAGTAAGATGCGAGTTCTGCAGCATCATTATGGGAAGGGAAAATAGCTCAATGAAGGAACCCTTAACACTGCACCATCACACGAAATTCAAAACAAAAAAATGAATAAATGATAGGCGTGTACTGAAAGAATGTTGTATTAATATGAACGCTGAGATGATTAGTTTCCAATAGTGGGGAGCAAATTTTGAGTGGACGACATTTAAAGATTTTTGGAGTTCAAGCAAACCCCTGTTCTCTGACAGTATTCAAAGGGCAAAATAAATAGAAGCTAAACGAGTAACAATTGTTGATCTAGTGCAAATTCAGATTAGCACAGACTCATGTTGAAGATAGAAATACAATGTGTATTCAGATTAGTCAAGAAATTTCAACGTGGTTGCAATTTCCTCATTCTTCCGCCAAAAAAAAATGCCTTAAAAGCTACAATGCTAAGTACAATGAGATACAGAACTGATAGAAATATCAATACGTCTTCTGCCAAAAAATGCCCAAGAACATACAATGCGAAGTAAAATGAGATATGGAACCCTCAAGAATTGCTAGGATGAAAAACATGTCTCCTAGGTAATTCCAGGTAACGATCACAAGACACATGCTTTTCAAGATTCACCAATACAAGATGCTTAAATCTATATCTAAGGTGAAGCAGTGAAATAACTAAAGCTTAATATCACAATTTGAAATCGCAAAAGCAGTCAGGTAAAGCAGACCCTCTCCCCATTACAAAATCATCATTATGAACTTTCCACAGCGCTTCCATCAACTCCTTTCCTTTGAGCCCCTTGGAAGTGAACTCTGCAAAAGCTCTCCTGCTCAAGAAAAGTGTTTTGTACATCCCCTTAAAAGCCCGCATTGCTGCTACCATTTTATCCATATTCCCGAAATATGTAGCCATGTAAGAATCACTGTTGATAGCGACATAATAATCCAGTGCAGCTTTAGTGTTCCCATGCATGCTGGTGTAATCCTCATTACTAAGAAGTGTAGATTTAGTAACAACGTTTGTATAGCTAGAGGTTAATCCTTGAAGTTCCATCAGACCATCACCAGCTGCCAGATAAATACTTGTGTTTGCTGGAATTGAAAGAGATTGAAGGATGAAAGCTGTCTCGTTAGGAGTAAGGGGACATTTCCCACGATTTCTCCAAATACGTGCTGCTTCTCCAGTCCAGGGTTTTCGATCGCCCCGTGCAGCCTTTATAGCTTCCATGGAAGCCAGAGATAAACCAAAATACTCACATTGACTGTAAGCTACCATGTCAGGTTCAAACCGAAGGTGAAGTGAGAGAAAGGGTTTTGGTATGGCTTGTAGAAGCTCTGAGCCTTTCTTCTCCAATGCTCTGGTAAGGCGGAGTGCACTATAACAAGCTTGACAAAGAGCAGCCTTTGCGTAGAGTGGATACCTACAAGATTCAGAAAAGGAAGATGCAATCAGCAAATCTTGAGAAAATCATCATCAGAAAATTCAGCAAACAATTTAAAAATTTGAGAAACAACAATATAATAAGTTTAACAATAGGATGCTCCGATGCTACTGTGGTCGAAATTGAACAATAAACTTTGGCCTGAAGTTCATATTCCACTAAAGAACAGCAGGAGATTGGACTGAAATCCAAACCAATAATTAGTTAGAGAGGACACAGAAGCATATCCTTACTTTTGTGTGTATGTGCATGTGTTTGTGAGAGAGAGCATCTAAACACGAAAGATCACTCATACACCAACAAAACTAGTCCTGAAAACTCTCCATAGCNGTGTGTATGTGCATGTGTGTGTGAGAGAGAGCATCTAAACACGAAAGATACACTCATACACCAACAAAACTAGTCCTGAAAACTCCCCATAGCCCATACCTGATATTTTTGATAAGCACCAAATTCAAACAGAGGATCCTATAAATCTTATATTAATAGGAAATTATCCACATGGGTCCCCTATTAATCTAAGGGTGCTAGAAGGAGAAAATTGGGTTGCCTAACCTTTGGGGGTTTTTTTTCCCACAAAGTGACTACCCTCAAATTCCTGCTCAACAATGTAGAGTTGTAAACATGTGCATTTTATTAAACGAGCTAGACAAAGTGATAGCCAATACAATACCTGTCCCTTCTTTGACTCATTGCTGGTGTGATTGAGATATAATGATGCTCCAGTAGGGAAGGAAGAATGCTTTCAACGTAATCAAATTGGCCTTTACGTTTGCTGCAATCTACATGAACTGGTTCTTTTGATGCAATCTCAGCTGGCAACTCTTTCAAAACTTCAACAAATCCATTCATCTGTTCGATGAAGTAGTCAACATCAAATACATCTGCAAAACCACTGAGGTGAAACTAAAATGTTAAGCCACAAAAGTTGGTCGTATGGAATAAGAAAATATAATATATCCATTGATCCATAAGGAAACATTTACCTCCCAATAGATGTTAACACGTAAGCTCTAAACAGAAACTGAAGAAACCATTTTTCCATAGTTGATTTAGTTTATTCACTCTAATCTAAGATGGGACTCAATTTGAAAACTTTCATTCTTTCGAAATTGTAGCTTTACAACATATGGCTAATTCATGCATGTAATCTTCGTCATACATTTGACAGACCTCAATTACCTTGATTCATTCCAGTAGGCAGCGACTTCAAATTTGGGTAAAACAAGAGTTGCATTCAGCAAGCGAGCAATTCCAACACCATCGCACAACTGCAATTATCATATACCATATACAACATGATGTAGGAGAATCTTTATTTACCACAAACCACCAAAAAATGAAAAACAAATCAATAATGTGGAGTACTTACATCCCTTCTCATCTGATTAAGCCCACCATAGCAATCCACCCGTATATACCCATTTCTCTCAGCTGGCAGAGCTGCAGCATTTCAACACAAAAAACCAAAATGCAATTGTCTGCATTGAAAGGCAGCAAAAAATTGACTCAGGAATATCATATACTCGATGACAAACTCACACTATTCTTAAGTCTTAACAGTCACCCAGCTATTGTAAGTACTTCTCTGGACACTTTCTATCTGCTGATTTGTTTCAGCAACAAATAAAGCCCATTATCTACAAAATAAAGTACAAAAGATTTCAAATTTTCTCAAGACATAAAAATGACTATTGCTTTTTCGGGGTGCAGATTTGTCCAAAATTCTCAAAATTTGTTCCAATAGTTGACATTAGCTTAAATTTTTTTCCTGCCCAAATACTTCCCAGTTTTATACCCCCTCAATCATGCGTCAAACTCTCTTTTTCTCTCTCGCCAACGCCTCCTCTCTCTCTCTTTTTCCCCGCGACTGTCTAACCATCTCTGTCTCTTGTATCTCTGGCAACTAGCAACCCTCCAGCCATCGGCGAGCAGCCTTCAGCGACCAGCTACCAGACCAGGTCTCTCTCCCTCCTCTCTACTATTTTTTTTTTTTTGTATCAAAATCTAGTATAGTTGAAATAATTATCCCTTTCGTGCCAGCCCAAGGAGCTATAGATCCAGAATATATAGAAAGTACTTGAATACCATTGAGATTGGATGGCATATGACAGCATGGTCTCAATCATCAAAGGATGAAGATACAAGGAAAGGTTTTCAAACTAAATTCAAAGAGGTTAGGTTGATACGTAGAAAGTGATGGATTTTTTTATTTTTATTTTTGCAGATAGACAGAAAACGAATCAAAAAAATATATATATATCTACTTTGTCAACCCAAGGAAAAATAAAATAAAATAAAAAATTGGGTTGTTCCGTTGTGAGAATCACAGAACCCGCTTTGATACTATGTTGAATTAATGTAAATAAAAATGGAAAGAAAAAGAAAAAAAAAGACATACATATGAAAAGATAAAAGGGAGATAGAGTTCTCTCTCTTTGTCACTTATATTTATAGTTCAAATATTAAAATGACTAAAATACCATTCATAACAATAATAGATAAAACAAATAAGAGATTAAATAGCTTCTAACATTGACATCACTACTTATGCATCAGCACAATCATTTTGCATCTGACGTTAGGGGTTACGTCATGGCTCCATTACATTTTCCAAATTATGATAATAGATACTATCTTCACTTGTTATGGATACTTCATCTCGGCCATATGGATCTTGATTTTCTCCTTTCTTCGATTTCATCAATGCACATTTGTAAATCAAATGATAAATCGAGTTGATCCGATTTAATTATATCTTGTACCAATTTTTCTGTGGAGTCACATTGCTCTTGACTCTGTTGATATGCAATAGGGTGATAGGAGATGCAAACTATTCTTCCACCAGTTATTTTGAAAGTATTTAGCCTATTCAATCTTTACAATTCTGCTTAAATTCTCTCTCTCTCTCTCTCTCTCTCTCTCTCGCCTCTCTGTCTATAGATTTAAGGGAAAAATTTGGGAAAACCCTAAATTCCAATGATAAATGATTTTCTGCACCACAATTTTTTGAGGAAAGTTGGTTTAAGGTTTTCGCGCATGATTGTGCGGGCAACATAGTAGATTAAACCCCTGATCTTCCTATATGTTCTTCATCACCTCTGCCCTCTCTCTCTGTTTATATATACATATTAATTTTTGATTGTGTATATTTGCACATGTGAGTGGCTGGGTATGTTCCATACTACAATTTCGATGACGTAGCAGAAGATGAATTGTGCTAAAACAGATTTCGAATTGCGTTAAAAAAAATTGCAGTAACAAATCTTCACTAATGTCTAGAAATAGAAAAGGCCTTATGTATTGAAATTGATTTTATTTTGACATTACCCATGCATGATGGGCAGGAGAAATTAGAGAAGAAAAAGACAAAATATGTGGAGGGTGAAAAAAAACTCAACAGATGAAAAGGGTATCAACAGGACTGTAGAATCTATAAGGGTATCAACAGGACAAGCACCAGCTTCAGCTAGCAAATCTAATACGTACTTTTTTTTGACATAAATTGATACCTTCCTTTGACCGAGCAACCTCAATCCCAAGGAAGTACCAAAGACGACTCAAATCTTTAGTGTGAAACAGTTTTCCCAAATGGAGCTTAATACCATAAAAATCGTTACTAGTAATGATAATATCATCAACATATACAATGAGAATGATAACCCATAGGATAGAGCGACAAATAAACATTGAATGATCTAAACTAGAACGTTAAAAACCATCCTGAAGTACCACAATGCTGAACTTATCAAACCAAACACGTGGTGACTATTTTAGACCATATAGTGCTCTTTGTTTAGGCAACATACTAATTGTTCCTTACTAGAAGTAACATAACATTGGGGTTGAACCGGGCATACCTCCTACAAATCTCCTTGTAAAAAAATATTCTTTATGTCCAGTTGGTATAAGGGANGGCATACCTCCTACAAATCTCCTAGTAAAAAAATATTCTTTATGTCCAGTTGGTATAAGGGACAATCACGAAAAGCTGCAACCGAAATAAGAATTCTAGCAGAGTTAAGTCGAGCAATAGTGGAAAAGATCTCAGTATAATCCACACCATATGAAAATACTTGAGGGCTAATTGCCTCCAAGGAGGCATACAAACTAATATTGGGAATCTTTCTTTTCTCACCGCACTATAAGATATCGATTTCTTCGCCATAAATGTGTCTCAATTACATCTCTTTGAAATTCTAATATCTGAATTTTTGTTGAATTATTTGATTCATCAAGAAAATGAGAAATTGTTTATTGCACTTATATATGTTCAATTGGAATGGCTAATTTGAGTTCATAAAAGTCTTTTTTTAATCCACTTAGTGAATCACATTGGTTGATTAACATAACATTTGATTTTGATTGCGAAAAATAGGGCTAATAGGCTCATAAACACCTTCACACAAGTCGCAGTCGTGGTTATATTGGACCTAGGCTTATATTCTTTGGTGATGCTATGACTTTGAGGTGATACTATGGACCTAGGCTCCTTCGTGTGACTGTTGGTTAGATTAGGGGTGACAATTTTTGATACGACACGATAACCCGATACGAAATACGATACGAATAAATGGGTTTTGGTTGACTAATTTTTTGACACGACCCGTGTATGACACGACCCGCCAACACAAAGTGTTAATGGGTTGTGTTCGGGTTCAACCCGTTTAACACGAATTGACCCGTCAACACGAAGTTTTTAATTCGAAGGAGATTAACCTGACCTTTTCGTTGCATGTATGAGTTTTTATGTTTTGATGACTTGTTTTTTCTATTACTTCTGATATTTAATTTGGTTGTATGATGTACGATTAACATATTTAATTAGTATTATATAAATAAAATATTAATTATTTGTAACTGTTTATCAAGCACTGACATAATTATTGTATAAAAAAGATACTATTACTCATTATTGTTGTTATTATTATTATTAAGTTAATTTTTAGTTTGTAGAAAAAGTATGAGGAGAGATTCAATTAAGTGAAAATAAAATCTTAGCGTTAAATTTTTTATTCAAAATTTATGTAGGTCAACACGAATATGAACATGAACACGACACAAAAATAAACAGGTCAACTCGACACGACACGAATAGTTAAATGGATTGGGTATGGGTTGACTAATGTTCGACACGACACGAACCCGACACAACATGACTCGATTGCCACCACTAGGTTAGATATTGAATGCAAAATTAGTTTAGGTAGAATTTTGGATGTCAATCTTAATGATTTTTGTCATTTGACATTTGAAGTTAATTACCTATGTTATATACTTCTAAGTTCTCAACAGTTAACTATCCAAGTAGGTATAAATTTGGTAGTTTCTAAGAGTGGTTTGTTGGCATGGTCATGTTGGTTGAGTCTTTTTCTCTATATTTAATGTAGTTCTTATAATTCCTAAGGAAAAAAGCCAATATGTGCTTACTTATTAGCAACAATTAAATTTGTTTTATGAATTCTCCTTTTTGTAGTTTGTAGTTGGCGATATTTTTAAATATATAGTACCTTCTGGCATGGACATCACCAATTTTTTTTTTTAAAAAAAATTGATTTCTTTGATTAATTGTTATAATTTGTAGTTGTTTTTGGGTATGAATATGTTTGTGGTTGGTTTTGGGTGTGAACATGTATGATGGAATATAATATGTTTGTTGTTGGTTTTGGGTGTAAATAAATATATAATAGAATATAATATGTGTTTATTGTTAGAATATAATTTTTTTTATTAATATGTTTGTCGTTGGTTTTATTAATATGGCTAATCTGTTAAATAGACGACCAATTTTGGTACAATATATTAATTTTTTTGTTAATCAGTACCTTCAAGCATGGGCATTTCAAATTCTTCCAAGATAAAAAAAAGTCTTTTACTTTTCATGGTTCAGATTTATCCAAAATTTTCCCAAACTCATTCAACGGCTATGAAATTTTATTTTCCTGCCCATAAATCTCTCATGCTTTTTATCCTGAAATTCCAATCCCGTCTCATGCGATTTTCTTTCTCCCAATATCTCTTTCACATGTTCTCTCTCTTCGGTGTTTTTCTTCCTCCCAATACCTCTCACGCATTCTCTCAAGTCTCATCCCCCGCTACCTCTATCTCTTTTTTCTCTCCCCCCAAATCTCCCCACTTTCTCATCACCTTTGTTCTTCTTCAACAACACTCCGGCCCCTTTCTGTTTTTTTCCTATCTCTCCTCAATTTTTCCCTATCTCTCTTCTCCCCGCAAACGACAACAGCCAACCATCGCTCAGGGCTCTCTCTCTGTCTCTGTACCGGTTGCCCCAACCCCCAATTCCATAGCGTCACTCGATCTCTACCATCACAAACCCGCTCCAACAACCCATAATCCTAATGCCTTCACCACCATAATCCATAAACCCACGCACCCCACTCCATAATCCCACTCTATTTTTCATACACACACACACTATTTTTCACATACAACCACTAACATATTCCACACAAAAGTTGGGTAGCCAAAGAACAGTTGTGGACTGCATTTACATTGTATTGGACTGAATTTGTACACAACCACTATGTGTTCGATGATTTTCCTCCTAGAGCTGCGGACACAATATTGTCGATCTCTCATCTCTTTCGTCCCCTTTATCCTCTGCTTCTCTCTACCCACACACACATTATCATGACACCACGCTCCCACTGCCAGTTGGGTGTGAGAGAATTCGGATGTGGGTTACCCCTAAAACTTCGTTTTACACACCGTCACAACGACACCTCGGTTTTGTATGTTCTCTTCCTTAATTTGGACCAATTTCAAGTTCATTCATTTTTCTCTCAATCTCTGTTTTCTCTTCCTTAGTCAAAGTTGAGGAGTTTTTTTTATGTATATATCATTACCCATGCATTAAACTGTTTGGGTTTTATTTGGTGGTATTAAATCCTTTAATAGGTTGATG